TGAGATTCCCCACTCCTGCTCAAAGGTTTCTCCCAGCGTTTCCTCCTCCTCCCTCACTTCTTCCCTTCAGACCGGTTGGTGTCCACCGCCCCCAGATACATAGAGCGGGGCAATGGCTCAATTTTTTTTCCTTCCGTGTGTAGAACAACATTTTGTGTGCATCGGAGCGTGTGCAGATGTGCACTGCTACATTGTGGGTAGCTGTGGGCCCTCTGCCAATCAGCTGGGTGGTATTTGAATCATCTGTGCTGCAGCCCAAGCTCACAGCTTAAAGGGAACACTGCAACTGGGAGACCCTTCCCCACCACCTCATCCTTCTATGATACAATACAGGACAGTAGTAGTTACAGATTAAGGTTAAATTGTCAGGTGTGTTTTGCACAAGCCTTTTCCTTTCCTTTTTTCCTTGGGGCAAGAGTGGGTTGTGGACCCAAAACATGATTTTTTTTTGAATATTTAAAGGTCACCAGCAAAAAGAAAGAACAAGTCATCTGCTAAAAGAGGCAAGTCTCCAAGAAGTAAAAGAAGTAAAAGCCCTCATCATATTGTAGTCAAAGTAAAACAGGTAATTTGCTGGATATTAAGCACTAATGTCCTAGCACTGAAAATTATGCTATATGACTGAGGCATGACTTGAAATCAGTGGGCATCTGTTGAAACCAGTTGTCTGTCTGCTTAGATTAACGTGGGAACGCGATCTAAATAGGATGGTATGACTAATTTATCACTTGATTACCCTATTTTTTTATTATTTGATTATTTTTATCGTTTATTATAATTTGGACATTTAGGAACTTCCACCAACGGAGTGCTGTGCACACTACTAAGGCCAGAAAAAGTTCTGTCACTCAAGGGGATGGCATTTTTTTCCACACCAGTTATACTGTAGACTATGGATGTTAGTATGTAGCCATTTCCACAAATAACCAAGTTAATCCTGACAACTACACTTGTGCACACACCCCTTTTCTGCCTCTGTATCAGAGGCAGAGAGGGGGGAAGGTGGGAGCTGGTGCCTGGGGATCCACCTGCCCTCCTCACCCCTGCTGCTTCCCACAGCGGCTGGTATGCAGGCAGAGAGAGAGACAGGTGTGTAAACATGTAACCACTAAGAAATCTAGTGGTTACACATTTACACAAATAAACATTAGTTAACATCCCTAGTGTAGACATGTCCTAAATCATAAAATTGAGTTATTGTTGGGGATTATTTTCCCAACTTGAGTGTTGAAGAACACTATACAACAGTGTTACTCATGCACAGGGCTCGCCAAGCGGCGGTGAGCCCTGCTCGCCAGCCGCGCGGTTCTGCGAGCTGCGGATGCGCAGATCTCATGGTGCTGGCTGTGCCAGCTTGTAATCTACTCACTGGGGGTGAGTAGATTACATGATTTGTCGAGACCTGCTCATGCATGTAGTCCGTGATACCTTTCTTGGTGAAATTGTGCAAACAAAGATGTTGGGAAGTGAGATGAAACCGTGAGAGTAACCTTTTACAAAGTGGGTTCCATAATGGAATGTCTAGAAAACAGTGGCTATTGAGTTCAGCTACATAGTAAGATTTTATGCATGTGTTGAAACATGCAGAAGACTGAATAACCAAAATACACTATAATTTCTGTGCTCGGGGTGTTTCTAATTCAGCAACACCCATAATATGATATGGACCCTGGCAGGTGGAGGCAGAAATAGCTCTGTTGTACCCCCTCCTTCCCAGCTAGGGGAAACAGCAGTACAGGGATGCATTCTGCTGGAGGCTTTTTCCTGTTGCTCCCATGGGAGTGCCAGGTAACAACCCTGCTCCCATCTTCCGCATTCTTTCCTTGAGCTGACAAAATCTTTAATCCAGCAAAACCTGTTTCCTAGGGTTGCCATATTAAAGTGGTTTGAGTGTAGATTGAACCTCTAAAATCCTCATCAACAATCTTGGTTCGACCAGACCACAGATATTGCTGGACCAAAGAGTCCCAGCGGCTGGAAGCAAGAGGCCAGCCAGGGTCAGGAGCTCAGTTCTGGCCAGGGCCAGCAGCAGTAGGGCCAACGTGGCTGGGAATGCAACTCTAGCTGGGACTGACAGCACTGGGGCCAGCATGGTGGGAAACAGCCTAACAGCCAGGGCTGACACCCAGTAGAAGGGCCGAAGTGGAGCTGACAGTGGGGAGGGGAGCCTTGATCTCCCCTGGTCTGGCAAACTCTCTGGTTCAGGACCACTCAGATGCCTGAGGGTGTGGACCAAGGAGGTCAAACCTGTATTAGGAAAATTTGTTCTAAACATTGGTCTGTAATATCAGCAGTAGTTTAGAAACTTGGTTTAAGATGGTATTTTTCCATGTAAGGAAATGACCAAATTGTTAAGAGCATAGCAAATATTTTAATTTAATTTTTTAGATTTTAAACTTTCCTGGCCAACAGTTATTTTTGCTGCCTGTACAGAACCCAGCATAATCCTCAGTGAGGAGTTCAGGGTTCTACCCTAATATCAGTGGTAATATATAATTTAAAATAAGCCAAGCACTAGTAAATTATATGTAAGCCAAGAACCTTTGCTTTTTAAAAGAAAGTAACTGAAAACTGATTCTACTTATGTTTATTTTACAAAATGTGTTCATGGTCACACATTCCATGAACAGTCAGTCATCTCATCAACTCCTAATTCAGTGCAAGGATTGCAGATCTGTGTTCTGTTCTGGAGTGAATTTCTACTGTAATTCGGAGACCTAAACATGGGTCTTAGCAGGCAAATGAGGAAATTGTTTTCATCCACTTTTTAAAAACTTGTATACTTCATGATTGAGTTTTTCTATAGGCTTGTATTAAATTGAAATTTTAAAGACTTCAAAAACAATTTTCATCTTTAATTCTAAATAGATCACTAAGAATGTTTCTTTGTTACAGGAGCGAGATGACCATTCCCGGAGAGGACACGAGGAACAACAGCACAGAGATCAGTCAGAGCAAGAACATAGACGAGAGAGAAATGGTGACAGAGAGAGACACAGAGATCATTCCAAGAGAAGAAAAAATCTTCATGAAAGGCCAGGAGGTCGAGGCCATGAGAGAGAAAGGGATGCCCAAAATCTCCGTGAGCAGCAAGTGGAGAGGGAGTTTTATAATGAGAGAAGACGTGAACATCGCCAGAAGAATGAAGCAAGCAGCGGTGATGAGACTCTGGACCTTGGTAAACCTGATGATGAAAATAAAGTTAAAGATCCAACAAATAAAGAGAAACCAAGTTTTGAGCTGTCTGGTGCTCTCCTAGAGGATTCAAACACCTTCCGCGGTGTTGTGATTAAATACAGTGAGCCCCCAGAAGCTCGGATTCCAAAGAAACGATGGCGTCTCTACCCTTTTAAGAATGATGAGGTTCTCCCAGTCATGTACATTCACAGACAAAGCGCTTACTTGCTAGGTAGGCACCGAAGAATTGCAGATATTCCTATTGACCACCCATCTTGCTCCAAACAGCATGCTGTGTTTCAGTATCGGTAAGTATTATTCACTGTTCCTGCCTAGGAAATAGGGATGCAGCATGTATAACCACTAGGATTTTTAACAGTTAAATTTTTAACAGATTTTTTTTTTAATCATCCCTACTAGGAAACTGGATTGTAGAGGAGTGAAAGGCAGGTTGAGTGCTCAAGAGTCTCTGCAAATCATTAAATCTATAAACATGTCTTCTATTTCAGAATTAGCCATATTTTATGTAACAGCTGCATATCATTTTAGCAGTAATCAAAATTACCTTTGATTCCTCACATCTAACTATAAGAAGCTTTTAATTAAGGCAAAGAATATAGCGGTAGCAAAAATAGAATTACATATGTACGAACTGGAGTAACATTTGTGGTGATGTAATATAGATTAAAAAAGTGAAAAGGAACACAGAGTGCCAGCTTTCCTTTGAAGCAGCAGGGATTGCCAACTGCTGGAGGCAGAGTTGTTGATGGAAACAATTAACAATTTGTATATTACTGCAGGCAACCCTTCCCATCCCCTGCACTTACGACCTAATTGGTTCCTGGAGAACCGTCGTAAGTCAAGCCGTTGTAGGTCGAACCCTTATTTTCCATAGGCACAATGTTATAAATGGCGGTTCTGTTCCTGGAAATCCATTTCATGCCCAAAAAATACCAACATTGACAACAGAAATGCAGAAAAACTAAACTAAATAGTTCAACTAATGCACAAAAATAACTAAAAAGTGAAGACCAATGTGGTGGAGACACGTATAGTTCAAGCAGCAGCTGCAGACTGGCAAATCTGACCTTGTGCATTTCCTGTTGTGGGATAACGTGTGGCGTCTGCATCGTACACTGTTGCAAATGCAAGCTGTGGATGTAAATTGTGAGGTTTTAGGAGCTATCTTGCATGAAAAAAAGGTCATAAATGTGAGGGGTCATAAGTCAGGCAGTCATAAGTCGGTTGCCTGTAATCTTCATCTTTTTAATGTTTAAAACATGGCACAGGCTTTCATTTAACTTCCTCTCGTTTATATGGAAGGAATTTTTTAGGCACGCTAAATACCTGGTATCTTTTCAGAGACTTAACTTTCTGTATTTAACAATATTTTGCAAATTGAGAATTTACTCTGAAAGATCCATCATGCTTTTTATTAACAGCATAAAGTGGCTAGTTATACTTCTTTCATTCTGGTTTAGAAGTTGTTTTTGTTTTCACCAGGCTTGTAGAGTACACCCGTGCTGATGGTACAGTTGGCCGCAGAGTCAAGCCTTACATCATTGACCTTGGCTCTGGCAATGGTACTTTCCTAAATAACCAACGGATTGAACCTCAACGTTACTATGAATTGAAAGAAAAGGAAGTGCTGGAGTTTGGGTTCAGCTTCAGATACATCTGAGGTGGACAAGAAATCGGAGGAGGAGGAGGAGGAAGAGGAAGTATCTGACAGTTAACAGATCAGAAAAAGACTTCCAAGATCATCTTTCCAGTAGAACTTGAATCTGGATGTGAACATTGGAGCATCATAGCACTGATGCCTCTTATTGCCTTAAAATCTTTCCTCTGTTGCTGATCAGTTCTCACTGCAGCTTATTTTGGGAAACTTCTGACATACTCATCTCTTTTGTAATTTTGAAACTCATGAGAAAATAGTTTTTGCTTTAAGAGGATTCTCCACAATAAATAAGGGGTAAAAAAGCACCTGAAAGTGAGAGTTCCAATGCGAACTATTCATCAGACATAAAAATAAATATGTAAGGTTGTACATAAAGCACATAGAATAAAATAGACTTTTTTAAAATAAACTGTTTGTGCAAATTTTGTCAACAATCCTTTGAAATTGCTCCTTTATTCTTAATTAGAATCTTAGTTTTAGTGAACGTGAAGTTTTGTAGCATCCAGTTATTTGATGTGATTTGCTGAATTGTACACATACAGCAAATCTCACTAAGCAGAGGAATTGACCAGGTTTGCGTCATTTAAAAAGGCAGATATACTGCAAAACATTTTTTATTCCTATGATTTTGGTGGCCAATTTGCATTGAAATATTTTTCAGGAAAGAACATTTCACCAGAATACACTACCTATATTAAAAAAAACCAAGGTATTTTGAAATTAAAGGAAATGCTTCATGGAACTTAGTTTATGATAGCGTGGCTTGCTGTTGTTGAAGGTTGTGTGCACACACTGTGTTGCAAATTTTTGCTCAGATTTCCTCTGGATACTGGTTTTTGTCCATATTTGAAGATAGTTTTTTTTTTTTATTCCTTTGATACCATCTTACTCATGATGCCATTGAAAAGAGCGATATCAAGCGTGTTAACCATAATTTGCATTATTTTTTAATTTTACTGTGTGAAAAATGTATACTGTCATATCTGGCATACTTTCACCTGCATGTCACAGAAAACAGTCAATACTTTGTAATTATGTAAAGTTTGTTTCAGAGAAACATTTTCAAAACATGGAACTTTAAGATTTGCATAAATTCAAACATCTTTCTCCTGAGTTTTATCTTGCGTTTTAAGAAATTTAACTTATTTCACTTTGATCACAAATGTGAGGGAAAATTAGTAATCTATGGGCACGTCTTCATGTATTATGTGTATATACTTCTGTGTATATACATAAGTTGTATATTATACACACAAATGCAAGTATATTGTGTAAATACGGGGTATAAATGCAGGTTTTCAAGCAGTAGGCATAAGAAGAATGTGCTATGGATAGCAGACTTTCCTATAAATGTACTCGGGTTTTTAAATAAATAATTTGTAAATTTAGCCCTAGCTGCCTTTTAGGTGTAATGTTTTTCTAGTGTCCAATTTGGTTTTGCTTTATATTCTTGGAAATAAATTCTATATAATATATATTTTTAGTAAAAACCCATACATATGGGGGAAATTATAATTGTGAAGACATAAATTGTTGAGAATGCTGTAATACATTCAGCAATGAAAGGCCAAGATAGGTGAAACATAAATGCTAATTCTAGAATTGTAGTAGATAATTAATTACATTTTTATACTATATTACTACTTTATTTTTTCCCACAAACAGTACCAGTCATAGGATGAAATCCCTCATCTACAAAATGTGGTTTCTTGGCCGAGTGGCACATCTGAATGGGAACTTTTGAAGGTTATGTTGTGTGTTTGCTATAAAAATCAGAGTGGTCACCATATAACACACACCAGCACTGAGTGTGTTTCTCACAGAGCTGAGCATTCGCTCACTTCTGGCTGAATCCAAATCATTCTTATTTCTGGTGTCTGTGTGCCACCTGTCCTGTTGCAAATTTATTTTGTAATCTGCATATAGCCTTTAGGTACTGAAGTCACCAAAGACTCCCAGCTATGTGACTTTTATTTTCTACTCTGGCAAATTCATTGTACATTCTTAAATGCAGTGAGATTGTTTTGAGAGGGGTGCATGTGACTCAGATCAAAACTGTGTGGGCATTTGCAGTTTCTGGGCAATGCCTGAAACCCTTGTATGGCTGAACAGTATAACCAAGTTTAGTGTGGGTGATTTCCAGTTTTGCTAGGTGGGTATCTTCTGGAATGTGGACATGTATCCATTTAATGTGTACTGAGATTACCAAACATGTTATATATGACCTAGAATTTGATCAATATTATGAAAGATGGGGTAGTATGTCCTAAATATTTACTTTTTTAAAAAAAAATGGATTATTTAAAAAAACTAAATTAGGCAAAACTAGCTCAACAAGTTTAACCTAGTTAGGCAAAACAATATGTAAGGCCTAATAAAGTGCAATACTACTTTTTAATAAATATGACAATACCCCATTAGAATGGATCTTCCTTCCACAAAGATAAAGATTCATAGCTGTGATTGTAAAGGGGAGATTAAAAAACAAATAGAACACTCTCAGATTTGTTCACTATTTGTACACTTCCTGAATGTTGCTGATTCTTGACCTTTTTGAACTGCCTGAAGCAAATCCTCAGATCGGAAGTCATGCTCATTCATGAGTCTGAAAATGATAAAAATGTCTAATAAAATTCCTAAATAGTGTACTGTGATAATTTATGAATTACCCATTTCAGATTTGATTATACTGTGTACATGTACACAATTTTTTTTGTTTTGTTTTGCTATACTGCATCAGGTTTTTTTATACTAACCAAACAGGTTTCTTGTGATAGAATCCAACAACTGAAGTACACCAACATGGACTGGTGGTGAAAACCAAAGAAAACCCCCTTTCTAAATACAGCATCTTAAATTATATGCAAGTAATTTCTTGCTGCTTTTTTTAAATTTCCTGTAAGGACTCCTTGTATCAGGCCATAAGAATCTACAGATATACATGTGTGTAAATTTAGAATTATTAATATTATGCTACTGATGCACTTAAGTGTTTGCAGGATTGGGCCTAAACATTTTCCTATTTGGACAATGTAAGATTTTCTTTTCATCCTCTAGCCTGTGTTAGCTGGAAACTTATTTGTCCCAATATCACATTGCATTGGTGGTTATTGTTGGTGATGGAAGTATTAGTTCAAATTTTCCTTAAAATTATTTTAAAGCCCATATCTCTTAAAAAATCTTCAGATCATTCACACTAGCTGCCATTTGTTCAGCATCAGAGAGGTTTACATTTTGTAACCTCTTTCTATTTGGAACTGAGTTTTACCTATGGAAAAACTGTTGTAGTACGTTATGTGGAAATGTCTCAGTTGTATCTCTTTTGAATGGTTGCCTACACATTGTTATAAATGGCACAGTATTTACCATGCAGTATGTTCAAAAATGTTAAGTTTGCATTGTCAAATGTGTAAAATCAATTTTAAATTAAAATTCTAGAATTTCTTCAAACCTGGTTTTTAGATGTTATGGTGAATGTGTTTTTAATAGAGTGCCAATGTGAGAGTTGTACTATATTTATTGCTACTGCAAAACAAAAAAGGCAGTCATGTAGCACTTTAAAGACTCAAGATAATTTATTAGGTGATGAGCTTTCGTGGGGCAGACACACTTCTTCAAGAAAGCTCATCACCTAATAAACTATCTTGTTAGTCTTTAAAGTGCTACATGACTGCCTTTTTTGTTTTGCAGTAGCAATAAATATAGTACGCTACTGCAGTAACACAGAGACTTTACTTAAGGGCAGTTCTATAGTATGAGGGGAGATCAATCTAAGTTCTGCATTTTCAGCTACCTGAATAGCATAGCTGAAGTCGACATACTTAGATTTGCCACAGTAAGTAGAGCTATGGGAGATGCTCTCCTGTTGTTTCCGGTTGCACTTCTCATTCTGAGTCACTGGAATGTGACTCTAGTTGATTTTATTGCACCTATGCTAGATGTGATAAATCTACCACCACTGAATCAATTGCTGCAGTCCAGAGGGAAGACGTACTCTTGGGATTGTAGCTTCATTGTGGATGTTGCTGCACAAACATACAAATGTCTCTGCTGGGGAGTGGATCAATGCTGTGGTGAACCACCGGCGATTAATTTAGCAGGTCTAGTGAAGACCTGCTAAGTCGGGGGGTGGAAGGGAACCTATTTTGGGTCAGGGACTGCTGACCCACAGAAAAATCAGTGAGGGGTGCCATTTTTGTTTTTTTGGAAAATAAAATTGAAATGTGTGTGCTTCATTTAAATCATCGCTCTGGCATGGGGCTGGGGCCGAGGGGTTCAGTACGCAGATGGCCCTAGGAGAGCGAGGAATATCCTAGCCCTTTCTCACTGCAGCTGCTTGGAGCTGGGTAAGAAGCACCTCCCCATGGCCACTGCAGCTCCAGTGAATAGAGCTGGGAGAGGGGTGCAGGTCTTCCCCCTGGGGCAGGTCCAGGTTCATCTGCCCCCTGTACTCTCCAGCCAGAGTGAGGAATATAGCAGACTATGCACTTTCCTCTGGTTATCTGACAAATGGAAATGGAGCCCTAATTGAGAAGGAGGAAGACACTTCCCCCTATTCCCCTCTGGAGCCTGGGGGGGCCTAGCCTTGTAGATTTTGTGTACTCCAGCCCCACAGGGAGTAGCAGAAGGCCTGGAGTGCCAGTGCAGGCTCCCCAATGCCGGGGGGGGAGGCCATATCCAGCCTGTGGGCCTTGAGTTCCCCATTCCTGTGCTAAGCTGACTGCTGATCACTCTCTTATTGACTCCACTACCCCACCAGAATGAGATGAGTAAGGGGAGTTGACAGGAGAGTTTTCTGTCCACCCAGCGCAGCATAGTCCTTGCAGTAAGTAGCTCTAAGCTATGTCAATTTGAGTTATGTTACTAACTTAACGAATTGCATATCTGAGATCAGCCTGCCCAACAGAGTCAAGCTTACAGCCTAAGAAAAGTAACACATCAAGAGTGGGGAAGGGAAGATGCCTCAATATACAGCAGAGGGTGGGAACCTTTTTTGGGCCGGGGATGCTGACCCACAGAAAAATCAGTCAAGAGGACACACACACACACACACACACACACCCACCCCCAAAACAACCAATCCTCACTGATCGGGCTTGTGACTGAGAAGGAGAAAGACACTTCCCACATTTCCCTTACACACCAGAGCCTAGGGGTTCCAGGTTAGTAGATTCTGTGTGCCTTGGCCCCATTGGGAGGTGGTGTGGGGTGAGAGGTGGAGCACCAGTGCAGGCTTCCCAATGCTGGGGGGGAGCCTTGAGGCTGGATCCAGGCAAACCAGGGGACTGCATCTGGCCCCCAAAGCCTTAGGTTCCCTACCACTGATATACAGGTTTTCCCCTGTAATAAATAAAACCTTCATATACCCTTCAAGCTAGCCATCATTAACTGACTGGTTAGAAGAGTTGAATCTTGGGAGGGATGTGGAGCAGGACAGTAATCGCCTAGAAACTGCTGAGATTACAAAGAGAACAGATGAGAAACTGATGCTGTAGATCAGTGTTTCTCAACCAGTAGTACAAGAACCCTTAGGGGTACTTTAGAGAAGTCTGGGGGATACATCAATACAACTAAAATTTGGAGAAAACTTGATTTTTTGTTTTAAGTTTTACAGCCCTTTATTGTTTTTGTACTTTATACACTGAAAAATGTCATCACCCGCCCGGCTACGATTAAGTTGTTTAAAAAATGTGTTGGAATGGTAGAAAAAAATTCTGTCTCTGAAAACTGTAGGTACCGAGAGTCCTTTTTTTTTAAGGGGGTACTTAATTTTTTTTAAAGGGGTATTTTATAAAAAAAAAGGTTGAGAAACACTGCTGTAGATTACTAGATCCAATGGTTATCTTCTGAGGAAGTGGGTCTGGCCCACAAAAGCTCATCACCTAATAAACCATCTCGTTAGTCTTTAAAGTGCTACATAGTCCTGTCTTTTGTTTCAACTAGACCAGACTAATATGGCTGCATCTCTATCACTATTCTAATGACAGGACAAGCTATGAAAGAAGTCATTGACCGGTCTACTGACAGTTGTACTGATGTAACTATGTTGGGTGGGGATGTGATTTATTTTTAAATGTTAACTGTTATACTAGTGCAAACTGTGGATGCAGTTATTCCCCTTCCTGTAGAAATAACTAAATAGAGATTCAGAGGGGTAGCTGAGCTAGTCTTTAACAGGAAAAACTTAAAAAACAACAAATAGTCTAGTAGCACCTTAAAGACTAACTAAACATGTAGATGGTATCATGAGCGTTCGTGGGCAAAATTCACTTCAGTATAACAAGTCCTCCGGTCATCTGAAGAAGTGGGTTTTGCCCACGAAAACTCATGATACCATCGACATGTTTTGTTAGTCTTTAAGGTGCTATCAGACTATTTGTTGTTTTTTAAGTTTATATAAAGATTGTTCATCTTTACAATCACAATTGCATCCAGACTAGAGGGGTGTACTGATTTTATCGCTTCAGTACTAGGCAATTTACTTGGCGTTGCCCGGGTCCTTACCTCAATTAATTTTTGTTTTTTTGGAAAATAAAATTGAAATGTGTGTGCTTCATTTAAATCATCGCTCTGGCATGGGGCTGGGGCCGAGGGGTTCAGTACGCAGATGGCCCTAGGAGAGCGAGGAATATCCTAGCCCTTTCTCACTGCAGCTGCTTGGAGCTGGGTAAGAAGCACCTCCCCATGGCCACTGCAGCTCCCCCCTGCACTGCTGGGAGAGGGGTGCAGGTCTTCCCCCTGGGGCAGGTCCAGGTTCATCTGCCCCCTGCACTCTCCAGCCAGAGTGAGGAATATAGCAGACTATGCACTTTCCTCTGGTTATCTGACAAATGGAAATGACCAGCAATGTCCCTGTATAAAAGAGGTAGGGGTGGAGAGCTTCGCCCCCTCACCCACCCTACCTGAAGGGCACCTGGGAGATGGAAGACTTGGGGCTGAGGCAGACCTGCTGGGTGGGGAGGTGGAAGGGGTGCAAGTCCCCCCATCCAGCCCCTTTCACCTTCCTGGTGATTGTCTCTCTCCTGTATGGTTTTATGAGAAGCAATCCCATTCCAGGCACATCCCATTTTTCTGGCACAAGAGGAAGCTGTATACCAAATTTGGTGGTCCTAGCTCTTACCTTTTAGGAGGACTTCTTGAACAAACAGACAAACTCTCTCAAATATATAGTAGATTAGAAGACTTACCCAGTGTTGCCCAAGTCCTTCAGGGCAGGAGGCCTGAAGTCTGCAGAATATAGGAAGGTCGCCAGGGACTCTCCCTCCCCTGTGGCGAGGTGGCCTGCCAGGGGCTCCCTCCTCCCGGGGCTTGCCCTTCCCCCTCTCCCTTCCTGGGGCAAAAAGGGGCTGGCAGGGACTGTCTTCTGTGCATGGGGGCCCCATTTACCCCGTTGGGTGGTAGGCAAGATGGTGACCCCTTTTCTCACTGGCCGCTCTCGAGGTGATACAGCTGCCCAGTTTCTCTGTACTATTGATCCTCTGTGCTCCCTGCCTTCCGTGAGTATAGCATCTCTCCAAACAGCCCTTCCCTTTCTGGAAAAGTCCTATTCTCTACAATTCCCATTTTCCTGGCACAACCAAACTCTGACCTTGCTTTAAGTTAGGAAAAGAGGAAGCTGCCTACCAAATTTGATGGCTTTAGCTCTTACCATTTAGGACTTCTTGAACAAACAGACTCACAGACAGATGCATACAGTATTTCTAAAATATATACACAGCTAACACAGTGCAACTTTTCAGTGCAGACAGGGCCTTATTGGCACTCCTGTGTGTCACATAATTTAATTCTTATGCTAATGGTCTAAACAGGGATCCTGGATGGCTCACAAACTATCTTCCACCTTTTAATAACTTAACCAACCAACGGAGGTGCTAATGGTTCTTAACAGACTCCTGTAACTACTTGAACTATCTACTCACCATCTACATGTTTTGCTAATCTTTGAAGTGCTACTAGAATAATTGTTGTTTAAGTTTTATCTACTCATCTCTCTCTTTTTCTTCCTCCCCTCCTCTTTTTCTCTCCCCCCTGCCTTCCTCTTATTTATCCTTGGATCTGGACTCATTATACTCCAGTCATCTGAAGAAGTGGGTTTTGCCATGAAAGCTCAAGAGACCATCTACATGTTTTGTTTGTTTTTAAAGTGCTACTAGACTATTTGTTGTTTTTTAAGTTTTTACATACTTTATTAGCTGGTGTCAGTAACTTGAATCTTCAGCAAAAATGGAGCAAATGAAAAATGGATGTAGCTTTAGTATTTCTAAATCTTCAGGAAAGCAAGTGGTATTGCATAGAAGTCAGAGAAGAAGGTTCATGTTTCATATGTAGCAGGAGCAGAGCCATTACAAGCTACAGTATGTTTCAAGGGAACAATGAAGGACATTACACACTTCTAGATAAACTTATTTTAAAAACTCAAGAACATTCTGATCTCTCCAAGAATGTTCCTTAGGAGGTACGTTTTCTTTACAAGAAACTTACTGCCAGGAAGAAAAAGCTGATCATTTTGCCAAACAAAATCATGTGAGTTTGCATAGTTAGTAGCCAGGGCTAATTAAAAACAAGCTTATTTGGAGTACACCTGATAAGATTACTGGAAGGTCAGGAGATGAACCTGACTCCAGAGAACAGTGAGTATTGACTTGGCTAATAACAATAGCTTCCTCTAGGAAAATATTAAACAGTGAAAATACGGAAGGGTGTCCAATTCAAAATAAAAACTAAGGGCTTGTTCAGAGGTGAATGGGATATTGGGGGGGACTGAGGATGGGGTCTTAGTGCTTCTCTGGGAAAAGGTTGGATGAGGGCACCAGAGGCTGCCTGAGGGGAGGGCTCTGTGTGCAGTGTGGATAGGATGGGTGGCTCTGAGTGGGGGTGCTATGTATACATGGTAGATGAGGTGCAGAATGAATGGGTGTCCTAGTGGTGGAGGGGCTCTGGGTAGATGGACATGAGGGTAGGGATGATGTGGATGGCGTGTGTGGGGGATGCTGAAGTTGGATGAGGGCACCAGAGGCTGCCTGAGGGGAGGGCTCTGTGTGCAGTGTGGATAGGATGGGTGGCTCTGAGTGGGGGTGCTATGTATACATGGTAGATGAGGTGCAGAATGAATGGGTGTCCTAGTGGTGGAGGGGCTCTGGGTAGATGGACATGAGGGTAGGGATGATGTGGATGGCGTGTGTGGGGGATGCTGAATACGATGTCAAAAGGGACTCTGCAGGGTAGATGGGGAGGGCGGTGAGGGGGTCCCTGGGCTGCAAGGGAGGGTCCCCGGGCGGTGGGGGGGATAGTGGCGGGGGGCCCCTGGGCAGTGAGGG